AGTCCATTTTTTAAGCGAAGAACATTAATTTTGCATGTAAAATCCATTACTTGGGCGATTGTTGTCTCCCTACTATCGTGTATCTAGTAACAATGGTAAAGAATTGATAATAGGCAAGGTTTGTGTTATCCACCGAATCCGCTGCTGAGCGGTGGAATACAAATACAAGTTGCCGTCCTGCTTTCTGGCTTCGGCATAGAAACGCTTCAAAATCCCCGTCAATTCAACACTGTTTCCTGGGTGATAGCTATATTCGTTTTTGTATGAGGTACTCCTGGAATACTGTTTTGGCAATTTTCGTGGCCCTCCACGTATTGTAGTTGTCTTTGTCTGAGATATCTTGATCGTTTTACGCTTGCGAAAGGACTGAAAGCCATTCTGTTAATGCTTTAAGAATATTTGGGCTTTCAGCAAACTGTAGACCGAACTTCGGTCTAAAAAAGTGTAATTGCATCTCTTTTGACGTCAGCACCTGAAACAACGGGACAGCTTCGAAATACTGAAAATTCTCCGAGGCAATTCCACCAAACACGAACTAGAATAAAATTTGAATTTATAATAATAAGTTATATTTATACAACGCGTTATTTAACTATAGCCCAGATTACACAGAGTGATTTTTGCTCCGCGGCACGCTCCGGATTGTAGCGGCGTTGTGTGCACAGCTCCCCCAGGCTTCTTCATTTTCTGCAGGGTCGATGTGGTCGTCAGTTTCTTCACCGTCAGAGCCATGTCTTAGAAGTTTTCTTTTGGCTGCTAATCTAGAAAAAAGCTACCAATTTGCTAGCTAGTAAGAAATGCTCAACTGTCCATCAGCATTCTTCGCCGTAATCATAGCCTTGGCCACTGACATTGTATCTTCTTTCTCTCCTGTTGCTTCTCTAATTAGAAATCCATCCGTCAGGACGCTCTTCTGCTTTTCGGAAAATCGGTTCTTCCGTATTTGGTTGATTTTAAAGCCCAGCCCATCGGTAAACTTTGTATGGAGCTGGCTTCAAGAGCATTTCTTGCTCCTGATGAGATTTCTGGTACACCTGACGTAAGATCGTTTAGTCTACTTCAGCGGCGTAGCTAGCATCGATAAGTGGGGTGGACATATTCATATATTCATGTTCACAGACCGTTAAAACCATCAATTTGAACAGAAATTAATAATGTGAAACACGAATATATGAATAAGTCCCCCCCCCCACTTACCAAGCTGGCGACGCCACTGGTCTACTTGCGTAACCATGGACAGCTTCGTCACATAGTGTTCCATGTTCAAGCTTACGTTCATATTTACGTACGTCTTCATGGAGGCTTCTTCGGGACAGGAAAAAAGGATGTGAGATTCTTCGACGGCTTAATCTTGTGTTTTTTTGCTTTGTTACACTTTGTTTACAGCTACGAAAACTTTTCTATAAATGGATGAAATGCTCATTAGACTGAAGCGCTGCGTCTTTTCTTAGGCTAGCAGTCAATAGATCAACAATTGCACTCTCTTGATTCAGTTCACCCAGTTTGTTCAGTGGCAGCTTCTTCCCAGCCCAATACCATAAGCCTTCCATACTTTCAGATGACCTTGCCCATACTCGACGTTAGGGAAAGCGCTTACACCATCCATTTCTGTCACACTAACCTCCCCCCCTTGCGAGTCTGAAAAACCCAGGCGACGCACATAGAAGCCAACATCCTTTCCAATACTCGCTCCTACGATAGTTGAATAGCAATGGTAACAACCTGCGTTGTCCTGCCTGAAGTACACGATTTCTAGTTCAAGAAGCTCCACTTTAGCTTGTGAATCACATCTTTCATGAATGAAAGTATTGTGCGTTGTCGTGTTTACAAGATTCGTATACGCGGACGAGCGTCATGGAATGGATCTCACCATTTTCTGGTTTGTACATTGCCACAGTTATATGCCACGACAATCCAAACTTCCGAACAAGTCGGTCTGGCTTTTCTTGTACTTCCTTCAAAGAAACTTCATAGCCCAGTCTTGAACTAGAAGCACGGGCTTTTCATCTAGAGAATCACATATCATTATAGTGCGTGCTTCATTTCGTGCTGGCTGAATGTTACGCAGCAGGTGCGCCTCTCCCTGATTTATGTTCTGTTTTGCTTGCGCAACTTTGAAAACAAACTGTTCCTTCAAGTCCTTGTTATCTTCAGGAACTAGCGCTAAAGCTTCATCAATATTATTAAAAACCTTTTGAATTTGATTACATCGATCACAGTAGTAAGCGTGCTCGTAGGTACAAGTAGCTTTGAAGTCGGAATCACTAGGTTCGCTAAAGGTATAAGACAGACAATGGTCCGGTATGCCGGATTCTTTCGAAACGTGTACCTAAAGTCACCACTAAAAACATCTCACTCTTAACACAAATGATACTAGTAGTAGCCTTGCCTATTCACACGTTGGATTTCGTTGCGAAGATAACGATGGACAATGTACCTTATAATCACTCTCTTAGTTGATTTTAGAAGCTCCTTTTGATCCCTTCCCATGTCATGCCAATCAAATCGCCAAACTTCTCCGCACTCAAATCATCACTCAAATCATCGAATGCGTCAGACCCTGATAACGGTAACGAAAACAGTTATACGCCTGTATTCTAAAAGCTCACTCACTCAAACTCATTGAGTGGGAGATCTTAATGTTATCGTAACGTTTCCATGGCGGTATTTCCAGCCGAATAGTGGCTTGATTTTCAGTGTTTTACCTTAAATCTTTCCACCAATTCCGAAAGTAAATTTCTCATTGACTAGCATTAACAAAATTTACATGTCACACTAAATGGCTGTAAGTATGAGTGACCTTTTTGAATACAGGCTATAGTCTGTTAAAAACTTAGAAATTGCTAAACATAAATTTTATTAAGCCGCTATCTGTTGCGCCGATGTAATCGAGTCTCTGCAGGGACTTGCGGACTGAAGCTAGACATACACTTAAGATTCTTAGTAGTGTACTTAGAAGAGTGTAAGCTTGGTACTGCTTTACTATGGATTCCGGTATCAACAGACGAACTACATTACCTTCATAACTTCCTTCGATGAAAGGGTGCATGATGCTCTTTTCTCCAAACGGAAGATCTTGCATCAAGTGTGAGCTCGTGATAAAGTCTAAAAAGTGATCAAGTTTGTCCTCTGGTACTGCCATTCTTGTTCTTCTATCAGGCACTAGTGGAGTTTTTCTGCCGTAGACGAGGATGTGTTTTCTTGCAGCAGTGAACCGGTATCGAGAAAGCTCGGGGATCTAAATTTGAAGTGTGCTGTTAGAAACTTTATCTACCATTATTGATAAGATTTGGTGTTGAGTGTCCCATCTGCTAAAATTTGTATAACACTGTGAGAGAGCCTCCACCAAAACACTGTTGACGTCTTCTAGTTCCTTGACAGGAAATTGTGGGTCCAGTGGCTTTGAAACAATGGCTTTCCAGAGATGATGATGCTGATCTGGTGCAACTTCTTCAAGAAAAGCAACAATAGCCTCTTTTGCCCTACGCACATAACCCAATCCAAGTCCCAAGAGCTGAGAAGGTCATCGCTAGCGTGCGAAATTTTGTTGCAATTTTTCTATTTTGCAGAAATAAGTCGATAAGAAAATTAACCCGATAATAGCACTGAAAACTATAACTCCAAGAGTATCTACCTAAAAATGCTGTACTGCTAAAAGTAAGACTATGTAAATTACTACATAGCTAATTTCTGCAATTTCGGGTTGCTTTTCCGATGACACTTGAAATATTCCAGAAGAGCATCTTCTTAGTTCACATCGTAAGTCTCGTAAAGAAAAAATCTGGGGCACTTATTTAAAACACTTTTTATGCCGACGGTAGATTTTACTTTTCGCTATGTGTAATACAATAAGATTCTAAATATGATGCCCAATCATGTCTCAAACATTTCTTCTACGGATTTACAAGCGGACCATTTTAATATCTTTTTCCTGCTTTGCATGCGCTATTTGCTCTTGAAAAAAGTTGAGCATCTTTCGCTTAAGGCTTCACGGCAAACGCCAGACTGCTAAATAACTTTGTGTTTTACCTCAACTACCTAAGTATGCAGCAATTTCTATAAATTACAAACGTTCTACATAAAATCCTCGATTTTCAGCAGCAATGTGAGAAAGCTATAAACTACTTCTGATGTATGTAGCAAAGCAAAAAATTCAGCTTTGCCCTACAGTGAACTCATATAATCACCCCACCACCTTGTTAAGGGATGGTTCTTATTTGCCTGGCAATTATTACAGACTGATGCCATCGACCAGAGAGGCAGAAGTAAAACGCGAACCCGAAGTTGCGAATTTCGGAATTTCAGAATTACGGAATTCAAATGCGGAAGCGGAAAAAGGGATGAAACGCAGAAAAAACGCCCAAACTTTTTTTGGCAGCGGGACGTAGACCTTCACATGAAATTTCTAGAAAAAACTAATTGTGGAGGAACGAGGAAGTAATCAGAATAAAAGCTACAACTAAATCGAAATTTCATTGGCAGATTTTTATGTAAAAATATGCTTTTGATATTTATAGCCAACATCGTTGTTATTTAGTATGTTTTCAATTTAAAATTGATAAGCTGTGTCATTTGTTCGAACTACCCTCTAGTTCCACTACAATTTGTCCTTGCTTGGTTTGCAGAGCTAGATCAGCGATTTTTACATCGTGAGACAACGCCGCGGAAACTATACGTTTTTTAGTAATATTCTTGTGAAAGTCCTCAACACGCTGCCGTTCTAAATCGTAAGGTCCATCTTACGACCATTCGAATTTCGACGTCTATCAATTGCTATGCTATTTAGACTTGCGTAGTTGGTTCTGCATATTTTTATTATAAGATCATTTCGGTAATTTCTTAATTTATCAATTTTCAACATTTTGTAATTTATTTAAACTAGACACAGTTGGAAATCATTTTGAAGAACATCAACGACTATTGGAATTGCTCATGAATAATTCAAATGTCAACCGGCAAATTCTCCCTGCTTCTCATAACAATAAACCCGTGAATGTTGAAATGGGAATTAAATTGCGTCAAATAGCAAATGTGGTAAGTTTCTGAACTAGATGATGCAGAAATTCCTTCCGGGAACACTGCAAAATTTAAGTTTTGAGAAAACGAGTTTGCATGTTGAGTTTTGGCCGTGTTCTCTCCACGATCTTAGAAAAAATACTCAATCGCTCACATGCTTTCACACGAATATTTCGATTCGGATAGTTGTGAATTGTCGTGTGATTTGCCAAGAAGTTTCGTTCAAGATATCGTCTTTCGTAATCCTGATATAAAAGTTTTCGTACAGTCACAAATTTTTTCCAATCACTCGCCTCATCAATTCAATCATACAAAGCCTATATCATTATTCACAATTGAACACATGCATTCGGTCGAACGTCGAATTAATGTAAAGCTGAATCCCACCATTATGAATAGATGAAATGTTTTTTTTTAAATTAGGACGAGAAGAATCAAGTAATGCGGCTGATCCTCTGGCTCACCTTTCATTGGCTTAATCCACACTTAAAGTGGAATCCTGCAGAGTATGGCGGAATCAACAGTGTTCATGTTGACCATGATCTTTTTTGGTTCCCTGACGTCGCAGTGTTTAATGAGTAAGTATTTGTCTTACTTTATAAACCCTCATGCATGCATGCAAAGCAGGCGGAAAGAAATCCACAGATCAGTTACAACCGTACACTTTGTTCCACAAAACAACTTTGGTTGGAATATTCTGCGATAAATAAAATAAATACAATAATTAGTAATTAGCTAGCCTGCATGCCTGGGGTTTAAATCCAGGTTGTGGGGTTCAAGGCACCGCTTTTAATAATCAACTTGAAACTTATACTTTCCGGCTCATTACATTCTGGAGGGTGTGATGCTGGTCAATAATTTATAAGGATAAGTTTCGCTGTTGAGATGTATAAACTATCCAAACTACAACACTACAAATTGAACTTTGCGCGCAATTAAAATTTCAAGTTGGATTTGCTGAACTTCCGGTCCAACTTGTTGGGCGATTTGCCAATGATTAATGCAATAATAATATTGATTGCAAAATTCCAATATACGGGGAGCAGAACATCCGGTTTGATGACTGTAAATCACTGTGGAGCAAGTTCCGTGTACATACGGACGCACCATAATGCATCGCGCTTGAGCTCGGTTAGTCATCAAACTATAGAGCTCGCTCAGTTTCGCAAAAAACAATGGTAAATAATAATAAACAGACTAGGAATACACGCATGCAGCAACCCCTCGCCATTTTAAACGAAGCAAAATATCTCGTTTGCTACCCAGACCTAACTTTCTATACTAATATTATGAAATAACTCGTGCAATATTTTCGGAAACAAAGACAGTCGTAAAGGTGAACAGAAATCACCTGTTTGCCTGCTGCATTACGTTGCAGTTTAAGTGAGTGTTAAACTTTTCTATAGCTAAACCTTCAAAACATCAAAACATCACACATAATTGTAATAACCATGCAAGCACTAAACGTCGAATGTTGTTTTTCGATAATTTATTTCATTCATTTTAGCGACTATATAAGCTGCAAAGTGATATTTGTTTTGTCAAAACTTTGAAGTACACTTTTAAGAACTTTTTTAAAGTTTAAGTGATGATGTAAAGCCTTAAACGGTCGGTTAGCTGCTTGTAAAACGACATACCAAGCTCAGTCGTATTTGTTAAAATAACAATGCATTCTTACAGCAAACACTGAGTAAGCAAAATATAGACACCTAGCTACCACTTCAAAGATTATAAAGTACGAGTCGTTCCTATTTCACCAACTGTTTCTGTGCTGTGATGATCTTTGAATCTTTTATTATTGTTTATATATTTGACTCCATGATTTCATTTTATATTTATAAAAAATAGTTTGCAAAATGACGGTTAATATGCTGACTCTCTCATGCATGCTCTCTTTTTGTCTTAGCCAATTAGAAAGTTGTAGACGACCGTTCTTTCTTCGTTCAAATTTCGCACATGCGCACAACTGTTATGACCATTGAACGTCCATGACATTTGGGCAACTTTGGATTCGCCTATGTTCTGGCAGAATACCTGGGTGTAATTCCTAATCTCCGGGCGGGATTAGTACCCTCGCACGGTGCTTCGCGCCGGCTCGGGGAATATAGGTTGACATCTCGTTAAGTTTTTCGTAAATCGTAAACGTTTTGTTTTGTAACCCCGTAACTTTCAAATATTCCTGATTAACCACATGTAGTGAAGTTATAAATGCGCATAAAACAGTCCACACCAGCATGCCGAGCCATTTCTATACTTGCTCGCATCGGGCCTTCTCGTTCCGAAGCAATTTTTCGTTTTTGTAGATGAATTAAGTCACGGTTGTCACGCCTATATGTTGGTTTGTTGTTAGTAGACATATCTTGGTCTCTTGAACCCACAGTGAACCATAGTTACCTCCTTCTTTTTAATGTTTCAGGGCAGGTTTTGAAAGTGAAAATGTAATTCTCCACCATCGTTTACGGACAAAAATGGTCATCACTAAGGATGGATATTGTACGTGGCAGGCTCCAGTAACATTAAACAGTTATTGCACTTTAGATCTCACAGACTTTCCTTTTGACGAACAAGAATGTCCCGTTCAAATTGGTTCGTGGACGCATCCGGGAGAAGAAATCAACATGACATACTCCGACCGAAATGCAGATTTGAGCCATTACATCAGAAGCGGGGAATGGATTCTACAAAGCGCTACCTTGAGTCAAGATTTCGGATACTATAAACCTGAAATTTCACCTCATCCCCATATTACCTTGTCCTTGAAGATTGAACGTCGTCAAGATTACTACAAATACCAAATAATTATTCCTTTGGCATTGATTACAATTTTAGTTACTTATAGTTTTATTTTGCCCTTGAATATTCAAGACCAGATTAGTATAGTTCTAACAATTGTGGTTTCTATTTCTGTATACAGTGTAATCATATCATCTGCGTTACCAAAAACTGCAGATCCTATTCCTGCTCTTCTAAAATTTTCCTTTCAGATGCTTATCTTAACCGTGGTTAGTTCCATTCACATATTTTTAACCTCCCCACTCGTGACAAAAATCTCCAATTTTCCGAAGTGGTTATTTAAGATCGAGTCTGAAGATGATTCGGAAAATGCACACCCAAAAGTAGCAACATGTGTTCGTATATTTTCCTTCCTTATATTTTTGTCAATTTTCATAAGTTTCCTTGTTTGTTTGCTGGAAAAGAAAAGATGTGCATACTAATGAATAACGGTAAAAAATATATGTAAACATATTAAATAATACGTATCTTATATACATGTCGTTTGGTTTACGAAATGCTAGAAAGTGCTAAATACTAAATATCGATCGATAGAACAAATATGGAAGTATTGCTTCCAAAAAAATCGTGATTCTTATTTTTGTACACATTTTAGTATTTAATTATAAAAGTAAAGATATGCAACAGAGCTGAGCAAATATTTATGGAAACTTCAAGAGTCAAAGGTCAATTATGTGATAAGCTAGCGTATTATGAAACACTGTAGTGATTGTACTCACGAAAAATTAATTACAATCTACCAGCCTGAACTTTATGCCCTAAATTGAATAAGCCAAGTTTTTTCAAAAGACAGACATAGAAATAAATTTCTCCTAAGTGAAGTAACCTAATATAATATGTATATGCATATCTGCAATTCGTTTTGCGTCAAACATGTAAAAAGTATATATAATATATAACCATGACAATTATACAGGGTGTATCAAAACAATTGTGCCTAAAAACATTGCAGCGGCATCGCAAAAGTGTAGGTTTGATTCCTGGCTTCAGTGGCGGATCTGAAGGTGTGCAGAATAAATTAAATGCACAGCTTCATTTTAAATTCAAATCGCCTTAATAACAACGTATTGGTTATAGATGTGAAAAGAATATTTTTACAATAAAATCTGCAAATGCAATTGCGATTTTCAGTTGTCGTAACTAATTCTGCACGCCTAGATCCTAAATAGTTGACTAATTTTTCTCAACTTTACGTGGCTTGGATTTGAAATGTGTATGATTGCGCTCGAAATTAAGACACTTTGAACCAATTGAACTTATATACATCAAGAATTGGTTTACTTTTTAGCATCCTCTGACACCTAGCGAGGACCTAGCTTAGACCTTTAGTCGATCTATAGCTCCTGTCTAATGTCCGCTGCCTTGCAGGACACGCAAAGTCTATAGACTTTTATGTCAGTTTCATGTCTGTTCCACTTGTCATTGAAACTTGAATTTCTTTAAAATGTGCATGCTTTCTCCATGGTTTCCTCTCAAATGGTTTATCTTTCTCAAATCTTTTAGCATCATAATTTCATCTTCTATGGAACTTTTGTGACTGTGCACTTGTAACTCTTGCCACCATTTCAGGCTTGCGACGACGAAAAAAAAACAACAACAACAAAACAAAATGCTTTCGCTAATGTTAATAATAATAATATTTACAGCAGGATGTGTGATACAATAAAGTGACATATGATACAAATATTAGATTACAATAACAAATACATGTGTCAATTATTATTTACAAAGTGGGTTTTTATATTTACAAAATAGGGTCAAGTATATTTACAAGTTGAAAATGGTATTGAAATGCTGTATTTGCTTATTGAGATCTGGTTTGAGTTTTTTGATGTAGAGAGCTTCTTTGAGTTTGAGAGAGAACTGAGATTGTGCATGGTCTAGTACGCGGAAGCAGGATTCAGTGTATACATGCAGCTTTGCATTGTGGTGAATTGTGGAGATGTTTGTATACGTGCGAGTTCTTATCAGAGGTGGTGTGTTCCTTAATGCGTGTAATTAAATGACGAGTGGTTTCGCCAACATAACGGGCATTACATCCCGCGCATGAAAATTCATATACTACGCATGATTTAAGGGTGGAAGGAATAGGGTCTTTAAAACAAAATAGGTTTTTGATTTTAAAAGAAGAATAAACGATTTTGAAGTTGATATCAGTGCAGAAGCGTTTGATCAGGTTGTGTAGTTTCCGTTTAGTGATCTGCGAGTGATAGCCGATTTATGGCAGTTTGAAATAGTAGGTGTTCGCATCGTTAGTAGCCTTAGGTTGTGTTGTAGGTTGATCAGTGATCGTGGGTCCGTTTTGTCGTTATATTGTTTGATGACATTGTCAATAAAATGGGAAGGATAGGAGTTGCGTTTGAGTGTGTCAATTAATGCGTCAACGTCACGTTGGTAGCCAATAGATGTGTTGTTGATTTTGCGTATACGATCAATAAGCGTTTTTATTAGTCCCGTCTTGTAGTTACGTGAAGTGAAGCTTAAGAAATTCAACAGTAGCCCGGTGTAGGTTTTTTTGTGAAAAGTAGAAGTCGTGCAAGTGTTTGAAGTCGTATCTTTGGTGATGAGTATGTCTAAGAAAGGCAGTTTGTTGTCCTGTTCTTTCTCAATAGTAAACTTGATATTTTTATGTTGTCGGTTTAGATAGTCGAAAAATAATAACGCATCACTTCACGTAACTACAAGACGGGACTAATAAAAACGCTTATTGATCGTATACGCAAAATCAACAACACATCAATTGGCTACCAACGTGACGTTGACGCATTAATTGACACACTCAAACGCAACTCCTATCCTTCCCATTTTATTGACAATGTCATCAAACAATATAACGACAAAACGGACCCACGATCACTGATCAACCTACAACACAACCTAAGGCTACTAACGATGCGAACACCTACTATTTCAAACTGCCATACATCGGCTATCACTCGCAGATCACTAAACGGAAACTACACAACCTGATCAAACGCTTCTGCACTGATATCAACTTCAAAATCGTTTATTCTTCTTTTAAAATCAAAAACCTATTTTGTTTTAAAGACCCTATTCCTTCCACCCTTAAATCATGCGTAGTATATGAATTTTCATGCGCGGGATGTAATGCCCGTTATGTTGGCGAAACCACTCGTCATTTAATTACACGCATTAAGGAACACACCACCTCTGATAAGAACTCGCACGTATACAAACATCTCCACAATTCACCACAATGCAAAGCTGCATGTATACACTGAATCCTGCTTCCGCGTACTAGACCATGCACAATCTCAGTTCTCTCTCAAACTCAAAGAAGCTCTCTACATCAAAAAACTCAAACCAGATCTCAATAAGCAAATACAGCATTTCAATACCATTTTCAACTTGTAAATATACTTGACCCTATTTTGTAAATATAAAAACCCACTTTGTAAATAATAATTGACACATGTATTTGTTATTGTAATCTAATATTTGTATCATATGTCACTTTATTGTATCACACATCCTGCTGTAAATATTATTAGCTCACTTTGCACTGAAGATGGCTTAGTGTAAGCCGAAACATGTTTGCCATTAAAAATTTAGTCGTTTACCTCAAATGTTTAATGCTTAATATACAAGAATTAACCTTCAGGTTCAATCTGGCGTTGCTTGAATATGCCTTGAAGATGGACCTCCAGAGGATAGGCTGGATCACCGTAAAGGCAAAGTGAATTTGCATGCCGCCTTAATTGTTGCAGCAGCCCTGAGTGGTGCAACATTGTACTATCATGCCGTTTTTCTCCGAAGGGACCAGAGAGATTTGCAAATTAGCCCATTTGTTATAATAGCAAAGGTATATTCAATCTCAAATAAATACTTCTAGTGGATATATAACTTATTAAATTAATATAACCTTAATTCCAACGTTATGCAACATAGGTAAATTTGTACTTTTTTAAACAACCCTTTAGATTATCACTTCGGGAATATTTTAACGAACCCCCTTTACTCCAGGTCTTTAAGTAATGAATACGCCAATTTTAACAACACCCTCCCCCTCTCTAAAAGAGGTCCACTGCTAGACATGCAGGCTTCTTAGTACCTATCCATTTATCGTAGTAAAAACTGCAATGAAAGGATTTGCAGAGCAACAAAACTAGGTGTCTTTACTTCCTTATAGCAACAATAGAAATCGCAATAAAACCTGTATAATCATAGCTAATATTCTATTAATCGATACATGCACGGCTTACATATGGACAATTGCGGCTTAAGTGAATTTTTATATCCAAGAATGAACCTTCAAAAAAGACCGAACAGTAGAAAATATTTCAAAAGACAAAGATTAAACGGCAAATGCTATCTTTCGAATATTTATTTAGTGATTCCAGTTGACCTTGAAATTTTTGTAGTGAAATTCGTTGTTTCAAAATTCAAATTACACTTTTAAACACAACTTTTAAGGTTAAGGCGATTGTGTAAATGGCTTTCACAGTTGGTTATGATTTTGCAAATCGAAATACCAAGCTCAAAATTATGTAAATGAACATGCAGCATTCATGTCAGCAAGCCAATACGGAGTAAAAGAAGTAAGTAAAGTGTATTAAATACTGCAAAGCTTTCGGTTCCGTTAACCCGGGCATTCATTAATGCAATAGATGAAGCAAACCCGGGCCTTCATATTGCATTGAGACCTTTCTTTAAATCGATGCAATGGTAAAGAGTTGTTGTATAATTATTATGATGCAATTTTATGAAATTATGAGGAATAAGACGTTGAAAACCTCAGGTTTACGTTTCGGAACAGTTATTTATAGCCTTATCGAGGATAGGTCGCTGCGTCCTGAACTGCAGACAGGGCGTGGAATTTGCAGATTCGCAATTGTAAAGTGTAAACAGAACGTAGGCGACGTCTAAAACTCTCAAATAGACAGGGGTGCTGGAACCAAAGGGTAGTCTTGCATGTGGCCTTTTCTATCATGTTATAGTATCACACATGATCACCATTTGATCATATAATTCCTACTCTTCCCATCAAAACTATCTGGTAATATCACTGCAAACGCGTTCTCCAGGTTCGCATTTACTTGCATAATTTTAGGCTTCCTCTTCGTCTTGTTTGCCCCAATGAACTCTATATATAATATGGAAGGCTCGCTCAGTTCAAAATGTGAAGCCAAACATGGCGGATCATAAAGGCTGCTGGGTACCGAACCAGACCTCCACGGAACGTAAAATGCGCGTGGAAATTAAAAACACGAATTATAAAACTATGACGAAAAATAGAAAAGCGAACATTTCGGACGTTACAAAGTTTTCAAGTTACAAAGTTTTTAAAGATGAATACATACAATTTGTTACAACCTTATCTGGCAATGTTACTCTTTCTAGAGAGGGAGTTATGCCGTATATTTGTGTTGTGTTTACAAAATTGACCGAGATCTCTTCCTTCACGTTGCCGCCATATTAAATTTTAACCGCTTGTTCGTGGAGGTCTGGTTCGGTACCCAAGCAGCCTTCATGATCCGCCATGTTTGGCTTCACTTTTAGATTACGCAATTGATGTACTAGAGCGAACCTTCCATATATAGAGTTCACTGGTTTGCCCCCCGCCGCTTTAAACTTCTTATTTTAATTATTCATTTCGTTTCAATGATCCATTGTATTAATAGCTGCTGTCGTTGTGTTTCCTAATTGAAGGCAAATACCGTCTATGGTAGCTATATAGAGTTAGTACTCATCCAAAAGAACAATAAATAGTTAGCAAGAAACAGCGAAATATGAAAAAAGGAAGTATATCTCAATGCATACTGTTAATACTAATAAAATTTTGACTGATTAATATATAGAGAATTAATGTTATTCGCATCAAGTTTTCAAGCCTAAATTGAAGGCATATTTATTATTTAAGCACTCAAAATACATGCATTTTTCAAATATATGTAGTAGCCCAGGCCGCAGATAATGTGTAACAGTGCACCTATTGTGATTAGATAATG